GCTTGGGATGGCAGTGGGGGAGCTTCCTTCCAGGTGCTGGGACCAGCTCAGCTTCTCTGCCCTAGGAGCTTGGGATGGCAGTGGGGGAGCTTCCTCAAAGGTAACCGCCTCAGTGATGATCTTAGTGATGATCTTATAAGTGGATTCTTCCCCAGTTGAGCCTCTAGATGATATTGTAGGTCAGCCAATGTTTTGATTTCAGCCTTGTAAGATCCAGCTAAGCTAGGCTGGAATAGAAACTGCCTGGATCCTTAGATGGTCATTGCACGGAAATGTGACAGCAAAACAGCCAGGATATATGTGAAACTGAAATCGGGGGCCCCTTCTGAGGGTCTCAGGATACTCTGATTCTGATATCTTAAAATCTGGTCCAGGAATCAACTGTGAAACCCGGAAGAAGTTGAGCATGGTGGTGCACACCTGTGATTCCCACACTATAAGAGTCTAAGACAGGAAAATTACAAGTTTAAGTCCAACCTTGGCAATTTAATGACTTAGTAAGACCCTGTTTCAAAAATTAAAAAGAAAAAAATTTAAAAAGAAATAGAGGCTGAGGATATAGCTCAGCATGAAGGCCCTTGGTTCAATCCTGGGATGAGGGGTGGGGTAGAGAGAAATCTGTAAGGATATACCTATGAAGTCGTGCAGCCCTTGGGACTTGACTTTATCTATAGTGTGGAGAAGGGCCTGGGAACAGACCTTCTAGAACAGGACCAAAATCTTGTGTTTTGGCCAGGGATAGTGGTGCGTGCCTATAATTTCAGCATTCAGGAAGCTGAGGCAGGAGGGTACCTGCGAGTTCAAGGCCAGCCTGGGCTACATAGCAAGACCCTGTCTCAAAAAAAAAAAAAAAAAATCTTGTGTTTTGTGAGATACACCAAGGAACCCTTTGTTTCTCTCCTAGATATTTCCTTTAGCACCTTCTTAGTGTTTATTAGTGTACTTGACCATTCCATTCTAATGCAGCAGGGCTGAAAAGGACCCAAAAGTTCATAGGTATTGGTAGCCACACTTGGATTTGAGTATGTAAAGGGCAAGTGTAATTCTGGGGGCAGAGGCTGGTTAGCTGTTCATCCCCTTTGGAGAATCTTTCTAGCACTATTGGGTTGATTGTTAATAAAGGAAAATATTGCCTTATGACTTCTTATACCCTGTACCTTCTTGGATAAAAGTGGGACAGTGATGGGACTCTATGACTGCCACCAAGCACAGCCACAGCCAACTCTTATGGCTAATTTCCTAATCTGGGGGACCCCGTGCACTGATACTTACAAGGCATTGCGTCCTTCCTCTTCCCTCCCTTCCTTTTCATGTACTGCCTTTTAGCCTAGATGCATGCCTCAGAAAATAGCAGGGCCTCTACCCATCATCCTGCATTCCCCATCCCACCACTGTTTCTGATGGGCAATTGCCCCTGGAGGGCTACACATCCAGGTCTCTGCCAGCCCTAGTGATGTCCATTGAGCACTTCTCACTGAGCTGCCATGCCCTTGCCATTAGGCCACAGTTCCCAGTCTTTGAAAATAAGGGGTAAACTTAGTTAATTTCTCAGTGCCATCTCTGACTGTAGAATTTCTCCTGCCCTACTCAGACATTTATATCTGAATCCACATGAGTGTACACCAATAGGTGTACATGTAGGAAGGTGGGGAGAAAGGGAAGAAGCTAAGATACTTTCTTTACTTGAGTGTATCAGAAGTTAGGATGATTGTAAGGAGAGAAAGGAGGAAGCAGGCCAGAATAGCACCACATATGCTTGGACTCTGGGACTTGAGGATAGGTCACTGCGTTTGTCTGTTCCTCACTATCAATTCAGGGCTAGTCCAAGGGTCACAGCCTCTAAATAGGGAGGCTATCGCAAGGCAGAACAGGATGGGTTTTTCCTAGTTCACTTGGTTTTATTTATGAACAGAAAATCTAGGGCATTTTGACTTCCTTTTGGAGGTTTGCCTGAGTGTGGTTTATTTAAGAAAAATAAGCTTGGGCTGGGGATTTAGCTCAGTGGTTCCGCCGCCTGCCTTGCAAGCAGAAGGTCCTGAGTTCAATCCCCGGTACCAAGAAAACCAAACAAACAAACAAAAAAGAAAAATAAGCTTCCTGTGGATGTAGTGTCTGATCTGTTACTTGCTTTGCATGTGACGTTTGATTCTCTTACTTTGCAGCTGAAGGAATGTATCCGAGCTCTGGACCAGGAGCACACCCACACTCCCTTCAGGCAGAGCAAACTAACTCAGGTAAAGTTAAACATGAACCTTCATGAGCTAAAGTAAGCCTCTCTTTCTTAAAAAGAAAAAGTCAACCTTGAGTCTTTTGTAGTTTATTCATTTTTCCTTCTGCCATCCCTTTGTTCATTCAGTAGAGGCAGCTCTGCTCTTCTGGTCACCACCTTCCTCCTTATTTCCAGGTAAAGAAACCTTATTGCCAGCTGTGGTGGCACCTGTCCATAATCTAGTTACTCCAGAAGTTGAGCAGGAGGACCACTTGAGCCCTAAATTTGAGACCAGCCTGGGATGCATAGCAAGACCCCGTCTCAAAAAACAAAAACAAAACAAACAAACAAACAAAAAACCCCAAAACTGTATTAGGTAGGTCCAGGGGTGCATGGCTGTAACCTCAGCACTGGGGAAGGCTAAGGCAGGAGGATCACAAGTTGAAGTCCCACCTGGGCAACTTAGTGAGACCCTGTCTCAAAATAAAAATTTTTTAAAAGGGACTGGGAACCGGGCATGGTATTACATACCTACAATCCCAACACTGGGGAGACTGAGGCAGGAGGATTGCTACAAGTTTGAGGCCAACCTAGGTTACATAGTTCAAGGCCAGCCTGAACTACATAGCAAGACCCTGTCTCAAAAAAAAAAAAAAAGCAAAAAGGAAGGAAGAAGAAAACCAGGAGAATTATGCAAGTATTAACTAATTATTCTGAGTGGTGGAAATATAGGTAATTTATTTCTTTTGTTTTTCTCCTTTTTTGTTTTTTTGAGACAGGGTCTTGCTATGTAGTTCAGACTGGCCTTGAACTCACTATGTAGCCCGGGCTGGCCTTGAACTCGAAGTGATCTTCCTGTCTCAGCCTCCTGAGTGCTTGGATTACAGGCATGCACCACCACACCCAGGCTTTCTTCTGTTTTTCTGTCATGAAAATGTCTGGAAAACACTAGTAGGTAATCAGCATCTGTAGTGGCTGCTGAAGTATATCATGGGGAGTAGTCTGCCTAGGTGCACATATCTGTGATGACAGTTATGTCTTCTAGTTTTCTTTCAGCACCATGTCCTGTGCACAGTGGAGGACAGATGAGGTGGAGGGAGGCCTAGGAGGGGATCTTTATAGGACCTGGGGCAGAACCTACAGTAACACAACTCTATGACTGTCAGAATTGGTGATCTGTGGGTTAAATTATGTCTTCTCAAACCTGATTTCTCAAGCCAGGGACCCAGAAATCTGGGTGGTTAGTCCTAATTCTGATGTTGGCCTTATTATTTCTAAAACAAGTTCCCATGCCCAGAAAAATGTGTTCCTATTTAATTAAAGAACAGTATATTCCAACAATACATACAATTACAAAGAAAAGGTTAAAGTTACCTTAAAATTCTACCACACCCCAGTGGTAACTGCTGCCACATTTTAATGAGCATCTCTGCCCATACATCCACATATAGATCCACGTACAGTCATGGAATCATATGTATTATCATTGAAAGATTTGTTTTAAGTATCTTTCCATGTTCCTAAGTACAGACATGATCATTTTATTGATTATACTGTGTTCAACTGTTTCTAAAATTTATTATTATAAATAACATTATAGGGGCTGGGGATTTAGCTCAGTGGTTTCGCCACCTGCTGTGCAAGTGCAAGGACCCGAGTTCAATCCCCGGTACAAAAAAAATAAATAAATAACATTATAATTAATATCTTGTGCATCCTTTTGTCTTTTTTTTTTTTTTTTGTACCAGGGATTGAACTCAAAACCTTGCACTTGCCAGGCAGGTGTCGCGCCATTGAGCTAAATCCCCTGCCCCATCCTTTTGTCTTTTAATCAAATTAGCAATTATCTCCTTGGGATAAAGTCATAAAAGCCAGGTGTGATGGCACATACCTATAATCCCAGTACTTGGGAGGCTGAGGCAGCCTGAACCACATCATAGTGAGACCTTGTCTCAAACCCCCCCACCAAAGATAAAGTTCTAGAAAGGTGACCGCCAAACCTATAGTGTCCATATTCTTTACCTTTTGTTACATATTGTCAAACTCCCCTCTGGAAAACTCACACCAGGTCATGGTATGTGATATACAGCAAGTGTAGGAGAGTGCTTATTTCCCTGGACCTTCACTAGGACAGAGTAACTTCAATCTTTTTTATGGGCAAAAACCACTACTTTTGTAATGGTTTTCATTTATTTGATTAATGAGGTGAATACCTTTTTCTTTTAATTGGTCATTTGTTTTTTGAGTTGTCTTTTTGTGTACAGAGGGCACTGTCCCTATTATGGCCCAGTGTTCTGCTCATAATTAGTCAAGGCCAGGCATAGTGGCACACACCTATAATCCCATCACTCAGAAGGCTGAGACAAGAGGATCACAAGTTGGAGGCCAGCCTGGGCTACATAGTGAGTTCAAGGCCAGCCTGAACTTTATAGCAAGACCCTGTCTCAAAAAAAGAAAAAAAAAAAGTGATCAATATGCCCTTTGTTAGTTGACTTCATTCATTGACTTGCCTTCTGGTTTGGACAGGTTCTGAAGGACTCTTTCATTGGCAATGCCAAAACTTGCATGATTGCTAACATCTCACCAAGCCATGTAGCCACTGAACATACTCTGAATACCTTACGCTATGCTGACCGGTAAGTTGGCTCCCAAATGGCAGGGGTGTGTGTGTGTGTGTGTGTGTGTGCACCCCCACATCTCTCACACACATAATAAGCATCTGATGTTAAACGCCACAACCCTCTTCTTGATTTGAAGAATTTAGTAGGCCCTGCTTTTGCAAGGATGACGAGACCTCTTGACTGCCTGGTCAAGCCTCTTTCTGGAATGACTTTGGCATCTGCAGACATCCCTCCCATCTCTATGTTATGTCCACATGTGTCTCTTACAGTTGCTAAGATATTGTCTTGGCGAGGAGAGGTACTACTGCTATCTAGTGAGTAGAGACCAAGGATTCTGCTAGACCTCCTACAATACACAGCATAGCCCCTACAAGAAAGTTACCTGATACAAAATGTCAGTTGTGCTAAGGTTGAGAAATCCTAGGAATAGACAAGTCATTTTTCCCTTAATAGAATTTGCACAGTCCTGCTTGTTTCTGGAGGCTTTGCTTCCTGAAATACCCAGAAGGTTTAAGGGTTCTCTTCCCAGAGAAGCCTGATAGGGGTGGTTTGTAGGAAAGAGGCCTTTGTGGAATTGCAGGTGAGTGGTAGACATGAATTTGTGAGCTGGTCCATCTTTAGGAAGCATAGCATGGGCCTTACGTGAACATAGTACAGTTATAAGAATCATGTCCCTGTCTTGTCCCTCATGTAGAGTTGTAGTGATTTCCAAAACTTCTGATCATGAATGTTGATCATGAATGTTGGCTGCATGCTTATCTCCTCAGAAAAATTACTGCTTTTTTAATTCAAATATAGAGGGATAGTTCATGCTAAAATAGAATATACTCTTTTCCTCTTATTTTCTGCCAAATAAAACCTCCCAATCCTTGTAATGTTTTTGCTGTTTTTTATTTCCCTGGAAGCTATAGAGCAGGAATTACAGAACCTACAAAAATGCACATTTAATATTCAATGGTTATTTACAGGGTCAAAGAACTAAAGAAAGGCATTAAGTGTTGTACTTCAGCTACCAGTCGAAATCGGATATCTGGAAATGCCTCTCCAAAGCGGATTCAGAGCTCCCCTGTAGCCCTGCCAGGGGACAAGTGTTCTCCAAAGAAAGTCAAGCTGGGGTATCAGCAGTCAGTCACAGTGACACCTGGCTCCACAAAAGGAAAGTCCTATCCTCTGGCTAGCCACCCACCAAACATTCCTTGTTCTTCTGTACCTAAAGTCCCTGGTAAAAAGTGCAGCTCCAGAGGGAGTCCTCCCAAAGAGTGGGTCATGCAGACTAGCCCTGTCAAAGAAACTATGCGGTCTGGAGATTTAGCCAAAAAAGGAGCAGAAGAATTGGCACTATTGTGCTCTGAGAAAAATCAAATTGGCAACAAGACTGCACTTGGGTGGGGGCGCAGGGACCCAGGCCCAGGAGAAGGCCTGGCACATGCTAAGCTGCCCACCAAGTGCAAGAAGATACAGACCGTGCAGCCAGTACAGAAGCAGCCTGTGTCACGAGTTGAGCTGTCCTCTGGCAAAAGCCACCACTTAGCAGAGGATGGTCAGGGCACCAAGGCAGGCACATCTGCCAGGCCTGCTGCTGAAGCTTGGACAAACATCCCTCCACATCAGAAGGAAAGGGAGGAGCATTTGCGTTTTTATCATCAGCAGTTCCAGCAGCCACCTCTCCTCCAACAGAAGTTAAACTACCAACCACTGGAAAAATTTTTATGCCAATACAGGGCCCCAGAGGGTCAGCTCCAGAACAAGACTCCTCCTCCCTCCCATGCTTGCTCTGAGAGCCAGGATGGAGCTCAAGCTGAGGATCTTGATGACAGTGACTTCAGTGAAGATTCTTTTTCACTTGTCTCCAGTCAAAGGACTACAAAGCAGAGGAGCACCCTGGAGAAGAGCGAAAGCTCATTCTTCCTTCATCAGAAGGGGCAGCAGAGTTCAGAAGGGCAAGTAGCAGAAAGGCAGCAGAGTCTGTTTTTTAGCTCCAGGACAGATGGTGATGAGAAAGGTCTAATTGAAAGCTGGATATACTCCAGGGACCCCATAGGCCACAGGAGAGCAGCATTCAGTCATCGCCACAGCCCAAGTAAGGTGCGCTTGGACCGGAGCCAAGAAGACCATACTTCCTCAGAGCCATCTCCCAGAGACAATCTGGCAGAGAAGCCTTCCTGCTCACAGGTAGATCTTGTATACGCTCAGAAAAGAAGTGATGGGCCTGCCATTGACCTCAGACAGGATGCCTTCAGAAGTGAAGTTCCTGAAGAGGCTGAGGGCAGCTTGCCATCCCTGGAAGATGGTTCCTCTTTCTCTCTATCCCACATTGCAGTTCCTGGATCCCCAGACCAAAGAGACATAGATTCCACACAACTGAGAGAGGTCAGTGAAGAGAGTGTATCCCAAGTGACCAGAACAGCAACAAAGAATAATCGTTTCCAAGGAGAAGACTCTAGAGGGCAATTAGGCACATGCTCTGAATATGCTTCTGGACTAATGGCTCCCCTCACCATCTCCCTCCTAGAGACTCCAGATAATGATGGCCATTCTCTGGAGCAGCCGGCCCAGGACAGGGCTGTGCACAGTCTAGTGACAGAGAGCACAGGGGGTCCAGCTGTGGGCCATAAAGTATCATCTGGCCACCAAGAGGCAGCCTTGCCAGTGTCTTCAGTAACTGGGCGCCTGTTTCTCTCCTCATCTCCCCCTGACAACAAGCCTGGTGGTGATCTGCCAGCTCTGTCCCCATCACCCATTCGCCATCATCCACCTGACAAGCTGCCCATTGAGGCTGACCAGAGACAGGCCTGCCAGAGCAGGGAGCCTGCACTCTTCTCCCAGGAACTTGTGGGCAGTGAGCAATATGATGCTGATGTTGAGGAATCAGGGCTGGATGGCCCCTGGAGTTTCCCTGGAAAGCCCTTCTCTACCACACAAACAAGGGGGCACCATGCTGGATCTGCACTCACTCCACGAATAGGAAGTTGTGATGAGGCTGGTCAGCCCTGGGCCCAGGATAGCAAACATCCTACGGGGCTCAGTTGGCAGGAGCTTGGTTTATCTACAAGCCCCATCAAGTTGCCTTGCAACAGTGAAGATGTCACATGGCTCAAATGCAGGCCAATCTCAGGATGCTTGGTATCACCAGACTCTCTCCTGGTTCCCAGCTATTCTCCTAAGACTACAGGGATACTTTGTCAGCCCACCCTGGAGCAAGCACAGTAAGTTGGACTTTCTCCCTAAGATTTGAGCCTGCAGCGAGGCATTGTGGTGCACAATTCCAGCACTCTTGGAAGCTGAGGCAGGATGATCACCAAGTTCAAGTCCAACTTGGGCAACTTAGCAATTTACCAAACCTTGCCTCAAAAACAAGCCAAAAAAAAATTAAAAAAAGATGAGCCCCTTTGGCATCCCCAGTTGAGTATCTGTCATAAAGAGGTGGCTGTGCACCAATACATAGTGAGGAGCTTGCTGCTCCATGTGGACAGTCTCACTGCTCCATGGGCTTCTAGTTCGTATTTTCTGCTTTGGTCCTGGAGCCTCCAAGGGAAGTAGAAATGAGAGCAGACCTTGTGTCAAGTATGTCACTGTAGAAGTCACAGCCTTGACAACTTTTTTCAGGGAAGCTGTGGGAAATGGGCCACTCCTATGGAGGAGTACCCAGTCCTATTTCCCAGCATAGTTGCAGAGGCAGTGACAGCTTGAGAAGACCCTGTCTTTCTGTATCCCTTGACTAGTCCTGAGAAAAGAACAGGGAGAGAGGGAGGGAGTGCTGAGGCAACCCTGGTCAAATCCTTGACCACTTTGGGCAGAGGTAGCTCTCCAGCCTGGAAACAAGTCTCAGTTTCAGAAAGCTGTTCCTGAGAGGAGGGGAGAGCAAGAGGATCAGTTTCCTCTCTGGTGTTCTCAGGCAGGTGGTCATCCGTGCACACCAGGAACAGCTGGATGAAATGGCTGAGCTGGGCTTCAAGGAAGAGACTCTGGTGAGCCAGCTGGCTTCTAATGTAAGTAGCCTTGACTGGACTTGGACTACTAGGAATTAGCCTGTGGGTGGTTTGATGGTTGTCTGTGTGCTGTGGTACTTGCCGGTAAGGTTCTGCTGTGTCTCTTCTTGCCACTCCTGACACCTTGAGAGGGCCCAGGTACAGGTGGGAGATGGTGCTCCACTGCCAAAAGTTTCCAGCCTGTCCTTACCCACCTGGTCTTCCTTGTGGCTTGTTTGGGCTCCTCCCTGTGACTATAACAGTAACCAACTTGCTTCCTAGGAGATGAGAACAGAGGCATTTCTACCTAAATACTCTGCCTATAACGTGTCTTAAAGGCAGAGCAGTGGGCCATACCCAGTACTCAAGCAACTCTCCTACAGGTTTTCCAGAGGGAGGCAGGTCCTGGGTTCTGAAACTTTTGTGCCAATAGAGGGACTAGAAAAGATCTGGCAGAGGACCAGTAAAAGCTCCACTTGTCCTTTGTTTCCTTTCTCAGGATTTTGACAATTTTGTCATCCGGCTGGATGAAATCATGGTTCTGAAATCCAAGTGCATCCAGAGTCTGAGAAGCCAGCTGCAACTGTACCTCACCTACCAGAGGCCCTGAAAGAAGCGCTGTTGTTAGAACAAGGTCTTACCCCAGATGGTGGGGACAGTATAGGAGGGGCCTGTGCTGGGCTCTCAGGGCCTGTGAGGTTTCTGCCAGTTCTTCCCTACACACACCAGAATCTGCTCCCTAGGGCCTCAGTTCCTCCGTCAGGGCCAGGCCTCTATCCCTCCTCAATTCAAAGCTCAGGAGCTTCTGTAAGAAAGGAAGGGCCAAGGTGAGGACCTTATTGCCCTTCACATTGTTTGGAGGTCAAAGAGCATCTACTTTACTGATCCTATGTCTGTGGGGACATATTTGGGGTGGTAACTCTGTACATTTTCCTAATTTTGAGGATTAGAGTGAGGTGGTCAGTGGTAACCTATAGGTCAGAAGTCACAAGCTGGGGAAGAAAACAGGCTGAACTCGGGCTGAATTATCTGCCTTACATTGGCCAAAAACTAAAACATTGGTGCTAGCAGGGCAGCAGTGGGTTGAGCTGTGCACTATCATCCCTTAGAGATTTCATTTTTGAAAATTTAACATAAACCCTGACTTGATGTGTCCTTAACAGCAGATGTGGAACAGGCTTCATGCTCCTCTTCCTGAAATCCAGTTTTGCGACAGAAAAGGGTGCCCACACAATACAGCATAAAGAAGCTGAGTGAAGTTTTAGAAAGAAAGAAAAAAAAAACGATTGGAATGAAGAATTTTAATCAATTAAAGTTTATAAGTTGAAAAAAGAAAAGAGGGTGCCCAAATCACTGCATTTTTCTTGTCCTATCTTTTGCTGAAGTGACAATGCCTGCTAGCTCTCTTGCTTCTGTAGCAGTCCTGGCTCCTGTCTGATTCCTCACTTCCCGTGCCCCTTCACTGAACAGCTAGAGGATTGCAGGCAAGTCCACCTCCAGGGCTTATCTCCGAGGACACCCTAGCTGGCCACTGCCCCACTCTCAAGGGCCAGTATCCTTGCCTGACTGCTACTGTAGTCACTAGCTTGAAGCCTCTGACAACAAATTCACATGGATGCCTTCATCTAAATGCTGTTGTTTTTAGCAGAAAGCTTAAGGAAAACAAAGCAGCCTACAGGTGCCCATCACTTCCATAGGCCACCCCAAGTCACACTGAGATCCACGTATCAGGCCTTGAAGCCCATTATTGTGTGAACATTAATTTTTTTCAGGTAAAGAACTTTTTAAGGTTTTAAGGGAGGAATTTAATTAAAAGGCCAAGAGAAGGGCTAAATGGTTCTCTGGAGACAAGCAGCCACTGTCTCAGGTGGTGCTTCATTTGACCACCAGAGGGCATCTTGCCTCCAAGCTTTAGCCCCTGCAGCCCTCTTTTACTTGGTCACTAAACATGAGACTTCCCTCTCCCTGCCAAAAGCCTCAGAGGGCTAATGAGATAGTATTAAGGACAAGAAATTTCAGGGATGTATTCTGTTGGATACAACAGCACCACTGAGAGCTGGGGAAGCACTTTAAACCCAGTCCTGCCTGTGGCACAGGGAATATAAATGTCTGGTGCTGCTCACAGGAAAAAGGATTTTTCTCATTTTCTGTATGACTCTCCTGAAGACCCAGCCTATCCTACCTACCTCCACGTTCCTTGGCCTGGAGACAGAATTAGGTCACGTTTAAACAAATCCTTGTTTGGGCCTGCCTTGCAAACCAAAAAATCAGAGCAGATTAGAGGGCCAGCTCTTGGGTCCCATACTGAACCTAGAGTTGGAAGTATATACTGAAATGAGAGAAAATGGTTAGATCCCGTTCTAGTCCCAGGAAATCCCTTTACCATCCACCTGCCCATCTACCCTACTCCATAAAACACCCCTTGACAATAAAGACGATACCACAGCAGGATATACCCTTTAGATTTTTATTAGTTCTCTCTGAAGAATCAAAATAGTTAGCAAATTATTTTAGATTCATGAAGACTGTATATCCTTTGTATTTAGATCTTTAATGATATACAACATAATACAAAACAAACCAAAGAGACTGGTTTCTATGCCTAGGTGTGTTACTTGTGTCATTCTAAAGCAGGGCTGGAGGAGACTGTTCACAGAGAACCATGGGTGTGTTAGTGCTCAGTGACTTAAGTCGTGGCCTGCTTTCTCACCCATTCAATTGTGCTGGGAAGGGACCACTGATTACTCAAACTGGCAATGGTTTCCTAAAGCAGGAGCTCTGAAGCCCTGGGCAGCAGAGGATTGTGGCTCAAACCACACTGAAAGAAACAGTCTGGACAAGAAAGCATGGTGTGACTGCCTGGCAGAAGAGGCAAACTCAGGCCCATGGGAAAAGTGCATTCTCTGTACCTCACAGACATTGCAGAACCAGTGTAACACTAAGACTTTGTTAAAAGGTGAGGAAATGAACAAAACTCTGGAAGAACCTTTCACTTCCACTTGGATTAAAGTTAAGTGCAGACAGAAGGGGAAGCTTCTAGCCTCAAAGCAGCATTGAGTCTGGCCCTCCCCTTTTCTCCCCACTCTTCTTGGCAGCCAAGCTAGGTTCTGGCTAAGGATGCAGAGACCCCAGAAAGACCCAGGTAGTCTGTCTGGAGGGCCAAGGTGGGAAGGACACTTCTTAAAATACAAATAAATTTAATATGGAAGGAGCCAGGATGGGTCTGGGGCATTAACATCCCCAAATCTTCCCTACTTCCTCTCCAGCTCAAGACCTGGGCTCATAGAGACTGGCAAGCAGTCTCCACACCTCACCTTCTAACCCCCAAAGAAAATTGGGAAGTATGCCCCTTCTCCTTCCCCACGGGTGGGCTCTGCAGGGCCTCCTGGGGGTTGGTGGTTCCGTGGCAGGGCCTAGGTAAGGCCTGGTCTCAGCTGGCTCCAGCCCGAGCCATGAGGTCTTCCAAAGCATTGTCCTGGTCATTGTTGTGCAATAGCAAAGCTTCCTTAATGTCCTTCAGTTCAAAGCCCATTTCCTTAAATTTGCTCATTAACTGAAGAAACTCCATCATCTAAAGGACAGAAGAGAATACAAATTAAAGGGTCTAGCTACACAGCACAGCTGAATGTAGAGGGGGTCTGGGGGTAAAGGAATCCAGGACAGATTAGTTTGATACCCCATCCCAACATCCTTCAGGAGCCATGCCCAGTCCCAACCCATTCTTGCTGACCTTGTCTGGGTCCCACTACCTGCATCCATACTCCCACCAAGGCAGAATATGGAACCTCAAAATGGCTGTTTTCTGGGGAGTAAGGTAGGCAAAGAGACTAGCAATGCTCCAAGTCATCCAGAAGTTTGGCTTTTTCCCAAGTCAATTTTCCCTTCACTGATATTCTAGGTAATCTTTAAACCAATGCTTCATTCAAGCCAAACAGGCCTCAATCTGCTGGCTATCTGGGAGATTCTACATTTCAACTGTTTTTGCCTACAGTCACTGGCAAGGAAAGGGGGCTGTGAGGCAGGGGTGAAAACCAGGACTACTTTGTCTCTTTTCCAGAGGATTCCCATGAAGCAAGAAGGTTCTCACCTTTTCTTCTGAACACTGGTGCATTTCCAGAGCCTCTTCCACTAAAAGGGGGTCAAAGCCCTTCTCACAAAGCTGTCCATGTGCAAAAAGATAGTCAAGAATCTAAGAAAAGAAAAAAGAGGTTAGAATACCTACTGCCACACCTCTGTGCTTCCCAGAGTCTTAAAACACACTAGCTAGTGTGAAGTCTGCTCCCACCCTACCCAAGCCATCACATCCTGAACAGGACTTGCTTTTGTACCCTGAACTGTGCCCAGCACAGTACAACCTCAGTAACTGTGAAGAGGCAAGCACACCCTTCTAAATGAGTGGCCATTTTCCAAAGGATGTGTTGCCAAAGCCAACACAGGACTCCCAGAATGTCAACTCCACAGCATAGCAGGACGGGGCTCTAAGAAATAGCACAGGTAAGTGTGCCCCAAGTACAGGACTCCAGCACCCAATTTAGAACTCCCTGGAAAGTCATGACAAGATAAACATTTCTAGGAGATATCTGACCTTACGCCTAGTTTTGGCCTCTCTGGAGGGACAAAGGAAGGGATTAGAACTCTAGGCCAGTGGTGGCAAACCTATGACACATGCTATAGCATAAAGCTCTAAAAGGTTTGCCATTGCTGCTCTAGGCTTTCTCTCAGCTGAGGTCCCAAAACAGACCCCAAAGAAGTGCTGCTGCTATGGCTACTGGTTTCCCTGATAAAGCACCCTGAGTCCCCACAAACCCACAGGAGAGGAGCCCAGTGCTACAAGTCTGCAGAGCTGCAGGACAAAGGCAGATCACCACTCCAGCTCCAGAGGTTAAAATGCGCTCCTAGCTCACCAGCTACTCCCCTGCAGGTCAACCACTCACCTGCTCAATATTCTCTCCTTTCTTCTTCATGGCTCTCAGGACACACTCATATGAATAGCCCATGTTGACCACTGTCTCTACACACTGCCGCTCACTGGGAGACAGTGTTTGCAGTTCAGGATAGGCCTGGGGACAGCTGGGTGTGTTGGGCACTTGTGACACTGAGAAATTTGGAGGGGTAGCCTGGTAGTGGCAAAAGAAGAAGATCAAATTAAGAAGAAGACCTGGGCCACAGAAAACATGTCACTCAGATGGCCTAATCCAAAACCTTTCCACTTTAAGCTTCCAAACAGCATCCTTGGAAGAGCCAGGCTGCTGGTCAGACAAAAGGCATGAACAGAGCTAGAAGGTATCAGCCAAGGGAGAGAAATGTTTCATCCTGCCTTGCAGAATGAGAAAGCACACAACAGCCATATGCCCTTCCATGCCCCAATCTTAGTCTCTGAGGCCACCCATAGGACTGATGCTTAAGCTGACAGTGATTTCTTTGCTAGGCTCCATTTACTGTCCCTTTCTAGGCCACTATATCTGAGTCCTGCAGGGATCATTCACTAAACTATGCCCACACTGGACCTGACTAGTCAAAGTCTCTCTCATTTCTATCACTGGTCTGGGGCAAAGGCTGCAAGTACTGTTCCCATGCATGGCCAGCTCAGGCCCTCAGGGTTTAAGAGGACTCTCACCTTTGCCCCATATCATGTGTCCATTTCCTGCTGAAGCTGCTGTTCTACAGATCCAGGACATAGAAGTAATAACCACACCAGGCCCACAGGACTGGAATGTGGATTCCATGGCCCTGTCAGTCTGCTGAGCTGGTAGATCCAGCCTGCTCCCTGCCACTGGTCCTTACTACCCCTCATCTGACTTGTGTACAGATTCCTATGTTTAGTCCTTCCTACGACTTCTTACAGTGAATCAAGCCAAAGGACCCATTCACCATGGGAACAAAATCACAATTATAGTTTAGTTTGGCTCTCAAGAACCAAAAAAAATGCTTCATAATTTTCTTTTCTTAAATTTGGGGCTGTTTAGGCAGTAGAGAACCCTCTGTTTTAGAAGCAATTTCAAAATGACATTGCTATAGCCAGTTACTCTTCTCAAACTATTGGGAGGAACCCAGAAAGACTACAGGCTTTCAAGCCCATTCTACTTAACCATCTTACCCACAACATGCTCTCAGCAGCCTAGTCATAGTAGGCTCTAACACTGTATCCTCAGGGACAAGCTCTGCCTGGGCTCATGAAAACCAGCTTCCAGCTGGTGTAGTAGCACCTTGTAATCCTGGGTACTAAGGAGGCTGCGGCAAGAGAACTCGTAAGCTCAAGCCCAACCCAGGCAAAAGTGAGACCTTGTCTCAAAAAGGGCTGGGGATATAGCACCCCTGGGTTCAATCCTTAGTACAGTCACCCACCCAGAGAATACCAATATCCAAAGAGAAATGTCAGCTCTCACAAGACAAGCCCAGCCAGAAAGGGGTGGGATTATTTTTCAAATCCCTTTCTCATAATGCCTCCTGAATGCCTCGGTGGGATGTGAGCATATGCTTCTAAAAAAACTCCATGTTAAGAATTTCCAGGGCTGGGTATTTGGCTCAGTGGTTCTACCGCCTGCCCCAAAAGCACAAGGACCCGAGTTCGATCCCCAGTACAAAAAAAAAAAATTCCACCTGGGCAGCCAGGAATTTAGCTTAGTGGTTCCACCGCCTACCTCACAAGCCAAGGTCCTGAGTTCGATCCCAGTACCCCCAAAAAAAGAATTTCCACCTGGGAACCCATGGCTATACCACCCTGAACATGCCTGATTTTGGAAGCTACACAGGGTTGGCCCTGGTAAATATAGTATTTGGGTGGGAGACCTCCCATGAAATGCTAGGTGCTGTAAGGTTTAAACCAGCCAGTGTGGTAATGCACATCTGTAATCCCAACACTCAGGTGGCTGAGGCAAACTACTGTGAATTCAAGGCCAGCCTAGGCTATAAAGTGAATTCAAGGCCAGCCTGAAACATACAGCAAGACCCTGTCTTAAAAAAATTACATTATATGAAATTACATATGTATTTTTTCAATTGTTTTTTGGGGGGGCGGGGTACCAGGGATCAAACTCAGGACCTTGCACTTGTGAGGTAGGCAGCAGAACCACTGAGCTAAATTGTTTTTTTAAGACAGGGCCTATATATAGTGCAGGATGGCCTCACAGAGATCACCCTGCCTCAGCCTCCCAAATGCTGGGATTACAAGCATGCACCACCATCCCCAAGTGTATATTTATTTTTTTTAATGTGCAGAATTATCAAATACTCTGCTGGGAGAAGTGTTTATCTGATCTCTAGGTAAATCTGGCATGGGTAAAGTGTGGAAAATATTCAGATTC